AACAGACGCTTATTCAGAAAGATAAAACAGTGAGTATTTCACATTGCAATTGGATACAAGTACTGATATAATTAACTTTGCTCAGTTATTAGTTTACATATGTTTTGACAAAGATAAACAAATTGCCAAAGAGTATTTTGTGAATCTCTTCCTGATAGAGCAACTACAAATGAAATTTTCAAAGTAATTGACAATTTTATGTTTGAGAATGATATTCCTTGGAATAAGTGCATCGCCATATGCAGTGATGGAGCTCGGGCTTTAACAGGAAAACATTCTGATGTTATTTCTCAAATAAAGAAAGTTGCAGCTGAAACTAAATTTACTCCCTGCTTCATTCGTTGTGAAGCTTTAGTAGTCAAAACAATTCCCCCAAACCTGAAAATTGTTAATTTCATTAAAAGCTGAGCTTGAAATTCAAGAATATTTATGATTTATTTCAAGAGATAAGGCAGTGAACATGAAACGCTTTTGTTACATTTCGAAGTAAGGTGGTTGTCCAGAGGCAAAGAGTTTTAAATTTTTTTATGAACTTCGATCAGAAATTCAAATTTTCATCTGTAATTCAAAATTTGAATTGCAAAAGTATTTATTTAGGGAATTATTGTTGGCCCTTTTAGCATATTTATCTGATATTTTTGGAAAGTTAAATGAATTAAATTTAGAATTACAAGGTCAAAGAGTTAATTTGTTTATCATTAGAGATAAAATAAATTGCACAGTGATTAAAAAAAAACTCAAGCTAATAAAAAAAGAATTGGATAATAATATTTTAAGCTTTTTACCACTTCTGGAAAGTTTTCTGACTAAAAATAATTTGAAAATAAAAAAAAAAAAAAAAAAAAAAAAAAAAATAGCATCCAACGTTAAAAATTATTTTTTCATTGATAAATAATTCCAACTTGTATTTTCCACAGAATTATGAAAGAGAAAATTAGATTAGAAATCCATTTTGTGCAAATGTACCTGAAATTTTATCTGTGAAGAAAAAGAACAACTGACAAAAATTTTCCTGTGATCAAACTCTAACTGAAGATTTCAAAAATAACACACTTATTAACATTTTGCTGAACCGAAAAAAGAATTTAAAGGCATTTCAAATAAAGCTATTAAATTTTTACTGCCATTTTGCACAACCTATTTGTGTGAACAAGAATTTTCTTCCATGCCATATTTGAAAAATAAATATGGAATAAAATTAAAAGTGGATCCTAATTTACGGTTAAAACTCAGTGAAATATCTGAGAAAGAAAGAAACTGATCTCTTTTAAACAGGCCCAGAGTTCATACTAAATTTTAGAATTAAAGTATTATGACTTAACTTTTGATAATTAAAATGGTGATAATCTAGTATTTTTATGTGTGCCTATTTAATACAAATAGCCAATAGGATGTGCAAATGGCAAAATATACTTTTTTTTAAATATTTCTTTTGATAAATTGAAAAATAGTCATTGTAAAATGTAGTGGTAGTACTAAAGTTTTTCAGTTTTTAATTAAATGGTATACTTTTGTCAGAAGATTGAGAACCGCTGACCTAGAGTTTTGCCTAGCAGAATTCATCGTTAGACATCGTGCCTGCATAATAATATGCAATTAGCTTATATTTTAGGGTATTGTTTGGATTATTGCTAAGTTGTTCTTTCATTTATCACCAATTTGTTGTTTAATTTATGGTAACTTGAGTAGTTGAATGTTATGGAGACCCTATTATGATGCCATTAGTTGCGTGATTGTGGTGAATTTGACTGATGGGAAAATATTTGTAAGGGCTACGTTCTGCATTGGATATCAGTTAGGAAGTACATTGCGTATTGTTTGCTTTGCATCGTAAAATGGCTGCCAGTGGTAAACTGGGTGTTTGGTTGATCTAATTTAACGGAATTATAAGTGTTGTGTTTGTATGAAGGAAATGTGTATCGTTGAACGTAAAGATCGTTCAGATGGCTTTGAATGGATATGTCACAAGAAAGGTTCAAAAACTCACCATATAAACAAAGTGTTCCATTAGAAAGGAAACATGGTTTGAAGAAATTTATTGGATTCTATTAAGGAATTTTGTGTGCCACAGACTGAAGACTCACAAATTTATAAATAGGGTTAGTGGATATTTCCTTTGCATAGTACATAGATGCATTTGCTTTTTTATGTTATTTCATTGTTTGATTTAAAATTCAGTTTATTGAGATTATATATTATCTGTTTGGCTCTGGTGTAGAATTGGGTGCTCCTTTGATTTTTAAGTGAAAATAGATCAATGTGTACATGGACAAAGTCAAGTTAGTGCACAGTGCGAAGTTTGTGCAATTCTCTGATGTCACAATGACCTTAAAATGCCTTTGGCACGGCTTCGAGATACACAATGAGCTGACAAATGACAATCAAATATCGACATGCATACATATGACATTACTTCTCGGTCCCCTTAATACATTGCTGAAATCGTGCAATTGCTGTGTCGAGAATTCCAACTAACTTGTCAATTGAAATTTTTTCATTTTCAATAAACTCTCTGTCACTTTCTTCACTATCGGTAGCGGTATTTTCTGCATCTAGAATCATGCTACAGATTTTACCATTCATTAATTGATTGATGATTGAGAAGCATGATCATCACAATGTAAAACTTCTTTTATATCATCTTCATTTATTACTGCTTCTTCACATTTCTTTACAAAATCCGTTAACTGAAAATTTTCGCCTTTGCTTTGCGATATCCGAAAACTTTTAAAATTAGCAGCTGTCATAATCAAATTTAGTTATCCTTGCATCATGAGCTTGGCGACTAACGACAAGTTGTTCTATTAAATTTTTTCTTGCTTCTATCGTGCACTGAGACAATTAAGCCTGAATTGTATTAGTTTAGTTATTTATTATACTTATATCTAGTTCTTGCACATTATTAAGGCTCATCAGATAAATAAATTCCCACATATACTTAAGCCTTATTGAGGGCCGGTGCTAGATATCTTACTGCCTGATGCAATCACTATGGATTCTAAATTCTGGGACTCGATGCGGCATACAAGCCCTAGCACAGGTTCTGAGTTTTGGTAAATAACAAATCAGTTATTTTTAATTCAAATAGCCATAAATGTAATCTTTGGGTCTATGAGTATCATCAACAAAATCTATTTTTAGCATATGGAAAGAAATTTTGGGTAAATTTTTCCTCGTCAACATTTTTTAGCGCATTTAATTTAAATCTGTAATCATTGCCAAGTGTAATGTCAACATAAAAGGTTACCATACTCCTTTATTATTCAATTACTAACATAAAAAAAATTGTTTAGATGTCGCTACAGGAGTCATTACTCAAGTTTATGTTTTTATAAACATGCGATGATGAAAGGAAAGTATTATAAATAATGATTCGCCGGGTTGACGTCAGATCAACGATGTATCTACGTGGAATGTTTCAGTTTGAGATGCGTGCCAAGCAAACACACAGTAACAGAGCCAAATTACTGATTGTATAAATTTATGCTAAAATGATTGTTTCTTCAATAACAAGGTATTTTATTTAGTGTCGAAGTGAAATTAAGAATCAGGACTCTCCAGATGTTTTATTATGCATGGAGGGGGAAGTCAAATGCACATGCATACAGCCTATGAGAAAAATTTTGTTGGTGGTTTTGAGGTCCGAATTTTAGATCATTCTGGATAATAGACGTCCGGATTTCGGACTTTGTACTGTATTATGATGTATATTTGAGGTAATATTTAGGACAACTCTCTTCATACATTTCCTACATATGTATATTTTTATTGCTTTCGCATGAAACTAAATTAATTTTCTTTTCTTTCCCCCACTCCAAAGTCAAACAAATATTTCTCTTCCTCTATTTTTAACATATATTTGATATTAACCATAAATGAAGAGTATATTGAAAGATTAAATTAAAACTGAACAGATTATTTCTAAAATTTTTAATTCAACTTAAATAATGCAAAAGTCATAAGCAATCTTCTAATCCTGAGTTGTTAGCTGTAAAAATATTTGTATGTAGTGTCGTATTATAATTTGTATATCATTCTGTAAGAAAAAATTTAGGATCTTTAATATAAGGGTTGTAAATGAAGTAATGGCAGCATACCTGGAGAACATTTTTAATGATTGTACAAGCAAAATTACATTACATTCCTTCAGTATAATCGCCAGCAAAGTCTTGTACCTTTTGCCAGATGTTGAAAGCTGTAGGAGACCATTGGCAAGGTGTTGTGTGTTGATGTCAGCCATGGAGCACCCTACTGCTCAAATCATGTATGGCATGTCAGGAAATCAGATGCCTCGAAGGAGTTCTTTCAACTTAGGAAAGAGATCATAATTACAAGGACTTAATACCAGGTGGGTATATGGACACAATATATTTCTGTCATTGTGAGTTAATGCAAACTGGTACCATTTCTCTACATCAGAGATTCAATATGGAACCCAGCAAGAAGCAGTTTTCTTCATGTTAAAACTTTTCTGCAGTATGTGCCACACCATTTGATGGCTGAGCCTAACTTCAATGGATATTTCCCGGACAATCTATAGAATGGAGACCATTGATGATGTCAATGCGTTGTTGAGAAATAGATGTGCAATGCAAATCTGTAGTTTTAGTCTGACCTGCACTAAATGCTTTGACCCATCGTGCTGCCGTCCTATAATGTAATGCATTCTTATCATAGGCCAGATAATCTTTAATTGCGCTGCAGTGTGTTTTTGCCACGGGCAACTTTTATAATCCATGACTGCTAATCACTTTTTAAACATGATTTATAGCAGTAGAAACAATACTGGCCACTTCAACGTCATGCAGCAACTACCCCTCTACTATGGTTTTATGCACTTTACACATCGACAGCAGTGCCACCTCACTGCTCTGATATCATGTTTGCATTTGGCTGCTGTTCTTTGACTTTCTGGGCTGCATTGTCACTATTTTAGTTACAACCCTCTTATTGATTTTAAAACTTCATATAATTTATATTTTTTAAATAAAATATTTCAGGATTTGGATTTGGAACACCAGCAACTACTGCTTCAACAGGATTTACATTTGGTACTACTCCTCAAGCGTCTGTAGCAAGTGGTTTTACATTTGGTACTACTCCTCAAGCATCTGTAACAAGTGGTTTTACGTTTGGTACACAAAATGCTGCTCCCGCAAGTGCTGGTTTCTCATTTACTGGTGCTGCACCTACCACATCCAGTAGTGGATTTGCTTTTAATACAAATATGCCTGCAGCATCTACGAGTTCTAGTTTTATGTTTGCTCCAGCTACTACAACAACAGCCTCTACAGGCTTTGGATTTGGTAGTTCAGGCATGTCTACAACAAGCACTGGCTTTGGATTTGGGGCAGTTCCAACTGCTGCTGCTCCAACTACTACTTCTATAACTTCTGGTTTTGCTTTTGGAGCTACATCTGGAGCCCAAAGTAGTGGATTATCTTTTGGCACCCCTGCACAGAGTGGAACTGGATTTTCATTTGGAGGTGCTGCTACAACAACATCCACAACTGGTTTTTCTTTTGGTGCACCAGCCACAAGCACTGCAACCACTAATATGGGATTTAGTTTTGGTACCCCTGCTGCTACTACTACTACATCTACTGGCTTTGCATTTGGTAATATACAGAGTACTCCTGCTTCTTTTAGTGGATTTGGTATGCCTGCTGCTACGAGTAGCAGTACGTTTGGCACATTGCCATCAGCTACTGCAACATCTACTGCTGCTACTGCTGCTCCAACAGGGTTTAGTTTTGGACAGGCAGCAACTGGGTTTGGATTTGCAGCTTCTTCTGGTCCTGCACCAAATGCCACAATTAGTGCTTCTTTTGCAACTCCTGCTACTACTTCCATGACTGCAGGTTTTGGTACTAACACTCAGCCTACAATATCTGGTGGTGGACTTCAATTTGGTCTTCAGCCTTCTACTACCTCAATGGGTACGACTCCATTTTCAGCTACTGGCTTTACTTTTGGTGTTCCCAAGACTACTGCAACTACAGCCGAAACCACAACAAGTCAGTTTCAAATGCCAGTTGCTGCTTCTAGTGCTTCAGGATCTCTTTCTTTTGGGATGAGCATTGCCAGCTCTGTGGCTGCAAGTAAGTTGATTATTTATAGTTTTGATTAGAATATAGTTAGCAGTTTAAAAGTTTCTGAGAGTTTTTTTAAATTATGATTGTTTTTATAAATTATTGTGGTTTTTAAAAATGAAAAAGTTTGATAAGTAGCATTATTCTACCTTGCAATAATTCTTAAACATTATTATTCTCGTAATGCCTTCTCATTATGCATCAGAATGTAATTTTCCTTTTTATTTTTCCTCCCCTTCTACATTCAAGTGCGGCATTGCATATAATATCTATAACTTGAGACTGAAAATTATTAATTTTAATACATTATAAAGGCATGTATGAATTTAAAGTAATATTTAGATAAAAAAAAGTATTTTAGTTGGTTTTATTGCATTTCTGTGGTGCCTTTACATAATTTTTTCTTCTCTTTTTGGTAATATGATTTCAGTTACACCATAGACTTTTTCGTGCAGCTTGATCTTACCAGTCTGAGACTGAACAAATATTGAATCCTGAAAAATCTTCCTGTCAGAAGAGAATTCCATCACTGGTTTTAAATCGCTGTTGCATTATAAGTAGAAAAAAGCAGCATTATATACACTAGAAATAGGTAAAACCTTTCTTTCATGGGGTTGGATCAGAACTGATCGCTCACTAATAATAATCTTGATGAAAAAGATCCAGAGCAAGGATGGTGAGTGAGGATAGAATAAAGAGTAGAACAAGTCGAATGAGTAGTGGGATCGGGACCTGTTAGCAAGGTTGGAGCCAGAGTCGTAGCTAAGGTTTTCGGTGCCCAGGCACAACTACAGATTTTGTGTCCCCTTCTGTTTGCCAAGAATGGAAAACATTTAATACTAAAATTTCATAACATCAGTTTTGTGCCCCCTGGATACTGCACCTAGGGATGGACCCCCGTCCCCTTCACTGGGTTCCTACGCCTCTGTTTGGAGCTAAGAGTGAAAAGAATAGTGAACCAGCCATGAGATCAGAAAAGTCAATTCATTCAAACAATAAATCTCTTAACTGATTTTTTTCAGCTTTAGTTTTGAGATTCCATAAAACCTCTTTGCTACACAAAACTAGCAATAAAATCCTAGAACAAAGACTTTTTTAAGTTGGGAAATGATAAAATTAAATTCGCTTTTAACAGAGGGCAAACAGTTTTTTTTTTAAACTAAAATGAAAAATGAATTTTCCTGGCATGCTTTCAGAATGAGCCCCCGCCCTTTTTTGTAAATAAGACTCCAGATCTCTGTTTCTAGTGTATTTCCAACAGGAGGTGTTGGAAAGTAAATATCCGTAAAAATCCACAAAAAGTGACAGCTCCATTTTCTGGATTTGGACTAAATTTGTTCTGTAATGTTATAAGGTATTTCTCCCGCCTTCTTAGCATGCCTTAGTGGTGTAGTGGTCAGCATGCTCGGCGTGTGTTCCAGAGGTAAGAGGTTCGAGTTCTGGCGAGGGCATTGCTCATTTTTCATGTTTCCTGCTTTGAAATAACCTAATGTCTCTACAAAGTGAATCATTTCTTTGAATTAATTCTGTACAGATCATCCAACTTTTGTATACCTGATCCTTAAAAGTCCTTACCTGGGTTTTATTTTCGTACTGTTGGTCATAGACATATAGTTCTAATTACAGAAATGTTTATTCAAATCACCTTCTTTTAGGCCCGTGTTAGTGAAGCAAATCCACATTTCATAATAAGTGATGATCCGGTCCAGAATTTTGTCCTTGTGTTTTTGTTTGTGCATGTGCAGGTCCGAACATGTCTGTGCTTGTCTGCTTTAGTCAGCTCGTGTGGCACCCAGCGATTAAACTTGTACATCAGGTTTATGTGATCCATGGCACAACTGATGGACATGGAATTAATGTCTTAATTCTTTAGCAAGCTTTCAAGTGGTTGCATACTTATCTTCTTCCACAAGTTCTTGCAGGCGGGCTTTTTCAACATCAGTAGGCCGGCCAGAGCGCTCTGCTTCTAGAATGTCATAGTCCTTGTTTTTGAACTTTCGGTACTAAACCTTCTTAGTCTCACATGATACAACATTAGTACCTAAAGTTGTACACATGATTTGGTGACATTTTGTAGCTGACTTTTTACAACATAACTAGAAGTAAATGATGCTTGTAATCTGGTAGCATTTAGTTCCATTTCAGACACCTTGTACTTAATGATAATGGGTTTTTTTAAAAAAATAAATTTCACAACACAGTTTTCTAAAGCAAACACAGTTTTTTTCTTTCAAATGCCAAAAATCATTTGACAAAATATGATTAAACATGCCAATGTGAACTGTTTGCGTGAATATATTTGCAGTGGTAGGAATCCAATTTTATCATATACCCAATATTATCATATACCCAATATTATCGTTGATACCCAATATTATCATTTTACAGACGAAATGAATCTCTTTTTGTTTAACTCTCTGAGCATTACGGGTTTAACCCTGAAATTTCAAAGTTCCTCAAAATGTCATGAATAATGATATTTTTTTTTTTTATTTTAATTAAAAATGACTATTTCATTTTGTACCTTGATTCCTTTTGTTCCAATATACATCCAAACTGAAATCAGATACATTAAAAGCTAGCAGAAATTTTCATGTATAATGAATGTGGAAGGCAACCTTCTGCACGGAATTTTCCGGCTGTAACACTGAGAGGGTTAAAATTTACTGCTAAATCACTCATCTTAGGAGATCTCATTATCTTTTATACATAGCTATCTAAAGGAAAAAGTGTTAATGTTGCTTTAAATAAAACTTTAATCTCTCTATAATTTTAAATGAAATATGTATTGAAATTACAAAAGATTTTAAAATTTATTTCAGCTACAACAAGTGCACCTCTTGGTTTTTCCTTGGGAAGTGCTGCTGCTAGTAAACCTCAAGAAGGAACTGGAACAACATCTATATTTACAATGAATAAACCTGTGACATCTATTGGTATGTTATATTTATTTAACATGTGTGAGAGAAGTGTGTGCTCAAAATTATGATTTCAGGCATTTGCTCATGCTTATGAGTAAAGCATTTTTAAAGTTTGCTATTTATAACACAGTTATTGTTATACTGTTTTATAGTTATTATAACGCATTTGGTATTTATAATGAAAGAGAGCAAAATGCCTCATTTTTTCTCAAAATATATTACTCTCAAGTTTAATGTATTTTAATCAAAACTACTTTTGCCTGTCACTTTTTCAATTTTATGCATTGTATTAAAAGTATTCACATAAAATAAGAAGAATTCCATAATTTAGTTTAATTATTTTGTCTTTTTTGTGCACATATTTTAATTGACAAGGAAAATCGCCTGAAATGCCTGGGCATTTAGATATCAGCGGGTTGGCACAACACCTGCATCTGTTTTGTACCTAATGCTTTCACCCACATCACGTTAGTGCATGGCTCGTTGATTTTGGAAGCTGCTAAATGACATGCCACTCATTCTTTTGAAGTGGCTAAAGTAGCTGTCTTATTAGAATGTACCTGTTTCCTCTCTTTTGTTTGTCATCAACATTTAGCTGTTGATGCTCGCAATTGCAATCCTGTCTTAAGGGGAAACTGCATACCATGGAGGTAAGAATAAAAGGAAGGGTCAGGCCCGCTCTATGAGTAAAGCAGTGCTCCCAGACTTTTGTCTCCATATAAATCGAAAAGCGGGCACTTCCGCATAAAAAAAAAAAAAAAAAAAAAACATTGTGTGATGGATAACAGCAATTTGTATAGTTTAATGACATTTGCACCTTGGTTATTTTTCAATAACTTGCAACAGTGATTTTGATTATGAATTTGTTTTATAAAATTCAGAGCTCTTGCACTGCAAAAATATAGATTTTAGCAAAAATGTTATGCGTAAAGAATGAAAAAAACCTTACAGTACCTTTAAAATTGTATATGTCTTTCAATACACTTGATAGAGTATTCGCTACTTTTATTTTATGCTCCAAACACCATAATGTTTTAAATAAAATACATTTTTTGGCCATCTACATGTTATTGTAACTAAAATTGCTTTTTAAAAATTAAAAAAAAATTTTTTTTTTAAATTTTTGGTACTTTTAAAAAAATTTTAGAGGAAACTCTCAATAGTTGCTCATTTTAAACTCATCGTTTTATTTTTATATAACTGAAAAATAATTCCTTTGGGTTAACTAAAAAATGAAATTTCCGCCAAAAGTTTTTATTAAATAGAATGGTATGCAAGATCTGTCTACCTAAAGAGAGAGTTGCCATCCTGGAGGAATTTCGAAGAAAAACTGACCTTTGAGTGGCTATGAAAAATGATGCATGTAATTTTCATTCAAATTTTATTTATATCAGATTTTTATGTAAAAAATTCTGGTATATGCTAAATTATTGTAAATTATTCAAAAAAGATAGTGAAAGCACAGAAATTAAAGATTTTCACATGCCGAAAAGGAAAAATATTAAATACATATGGGTATTCATGCATATAATTGCATAAAGCATTTATCTTCCTTTAACAGAATATATAAATATTTATTAAATTATTTATAAATGTATTTGGAAATCACAGATTTATTCATTCATAAACTCCTGTGAAAGTTACTGGGAAGAAATCTAGTTATTAAATATATATAAATTTATAATGATTATAAATATTATCTAAATATATAACAAACTTAACGTTTAATTGTAAGCATAAACTGAAATTCTGTTGACAAATAAGTTTATAAAACTATTTAAGCAGGAATTGTTCATACTGGAAAGTAATCTGTTAAAAGGTATTGTAAAGCAAATTCTATGAGATGCGTACTTAAGGAAGTAGTAAAAGCATATTTTAAAAACTCTTCCTTACTACTTAAAATTAATTGAAATTAAGGGTAAAAAAAATCTGATAAATATTAAAAGAATTATTTCCTTACATTTTATATAACTCGGTTACAATTTTTAAATAATATTAAGGAAAAAAAATCCCTTTTTATTCCCTTTCAGAAATATAGATAAAAAGTTAAGCACATGGAAATCAGCACCAATATTTAAGGTATTTCATTATTAAAATAAAAGGTACTGTTTGGTATAAAATGCGATGAGTTAAGATAGATAATGGCGCTGGTTTCAAAATAAAACTAACTAAGTAGGCCACACAAATATTTAATCATTTACATAATGTACAAGGTTACAAGTTAGATGCTCCATTAACACAGACAAAGTGGAATGAGCGAATGCACCATAGGTCCGCAGCATACATTCTTCAACAACCAACTCAACTAAATTTGGCTCCTCTTACAAGAGGGCGCTATATTAAACCGGAACATGCCGGCTCCCATTGAACAAGTTTTAATAATGCCATAAAAGTTTTACAATCAAATTCAAATATAGACATACATATGAAATACACAATGAAATGCAATTTAACACAAATTATTTCAATTACAATTAAATTCAGTACCATATAATAAGAAATAAAAATGTCACACATAAAAATTACATTTGCACTAAATGAATAATGTAATAATGTCCATTCATAATATGGAAATTTTATATCTGATAGTTGTCTGGTATGGGCAAAATACTTAATTTTGTGACAGGCCTTCTGTTGTCAGACTTATTTATAATTTCTGGTTCTACAGGGGCTGTTATAAAACGGCCAATTAAAAAATGTCCAGGTGTTAATGCTTTAAAATCCCTTGCATCTGAAGAGAGAGGAGAAATTGGTCTGGAGTTTAATATTCCCTCTATTTGTGTTACTAAAGTTAAAAATTCTTCAATAGTTAATTTTGAATTCCCAACCGTTTTTTTAAAATGCGTTTTGAACGATTTAACGCCCGCCTCCCAAAGCCCACCAAAATGTGGAGCTCTAGGGGGTATACATTTCCACTCAATCTCCTCTGACAACAAATAGTCGGATAATCCTTGTTCTGGTTTTGTGGCTAATTTAAACAGCTTGCTTAATTCATTTCAAGCTCTAAGAAAGTTTGTAGCATTATTGCTAAATATGGTCGATCTTTTCCCTCTCCTAGCGAAAAATCTCTTTAGGGTAGCAATTAATGCTTCCGAAGATAAGTCTGAGACAATTTCTAAGTGAATTGGCAAGGCACACAAATACTGCAACATACATTTTTAGAAAAACACTTTTCATTGATTTTTTGCCTTTATAAGAAACGGACCACAAAATCGAGTCCACATTTGTTAAAGGTTGATTCAACTGACACTCGTTCAGCAGGCAGATCACCAATTACCTGATCTATTGGTACAGGTCCGTGTACGCATCCATGTACTATTTTTCTAGCAAGATTCCTGCCGCTGATGGGCCAAAACTTTTGTCTGACAGTACTCAATAGAGCTTCTGGTCCAAGATGCAAATATTTCAGATGATAATAGTACATGATCAAATAAGTGAACCTATGTCTAGCTGGCAAAATGATTGGATATTTACAATCATAACTTACCTGAGATTGCGCAAGTCTGCTACCGGCACGTAAGATTCCATCATTATCGATGAATGGATTTAACGACTTTAAGCTTGCTCCTACGAGGTACTTCTGGCTATCCCTCTTAAGTGACTCAATATCAGAATAAAACTCACCTTTCTGCACTTCCCGAATCAACGTTGAACTCGGCCCCTTTCCGTTCCTCTAAGGATCTAGGCCCTGAAACCCTTTCCTTATTCTTAATGATTCTGAAGAACCTAAAAATAAAACTACAAATTTTGATTAATTTCATATAATTATTTGTTCGATTTAAGAGAGAGGTTAAACTAGAAATTATTTTCTAATATTGCAAAATTAGAGTCTGATAAACATTTCAGTTCCTTGACATAGTCATTATCAGTGGTAGGCTCAATAGGTTGTTCTGGATAATACATGTCCTCACGGAGAAGGTCTGGTCCATTCCACCAGATATCACACGTAAGAATGTCACTGGCATCCAGTCCACGCGATATGACATCAGCTGGGTTACATTCAGATGGCACATATTTCCATTGGTATGACCCCGTAAGCTCTTGTATTAAAGCGACTCTGTTACTCACGAAAGTTTTTAGTAAGTGTGGTGATTTTCTAATCCAAGCAAGAGAAATCGTAGAATCAGACCAAAGAATTACTTTTTCTACTTTAACATTCAACGAAGATATCACTTTATCCATCAATCTGGATAACAGAAGGCAACCTGACAGTTCCAATCTAGGAATTGATAGGGTTTTTATTGGTGCAACTGTCGCCCAACAATTCAGAGTCCTTCATGGACATGCATACAAGGTACCGACCTTCAAAGGTTCTATAATGAGTTTCATTAAAATTTTTTTCAAAAATATTTCTCTTCTGGACTAAGTGCTGAATCCGGAAAATTAATATTTTCTACCTCCCAGAATTTGTGCAATGTTTCTTCAGTTTTTTCATTTTGCGTAAGCAGACCACAGTATTGTGATTCAAGTGGTGAATTATGCACAATACTACTAACTACGGAACCAAAAATCGTTTCCTGGAACAATAAGTCTTTTGTTGCGTTGCGAACTTGACCTGATTTTAATAAGTCAAAGAAACATTCTGCACCCAATAATAAATCAATTTCCTCAGGTGTGTTAAATCTGTAATCAGCTGAGGAAATATCCCTGAAGACGTCAATGTTTTATCCTTATTGGCAATTGAAGTCCTCAATTTATAATTTAAAGTAATATCAGTTCCATTTAATACTGAAAACCTTTGTTTTTTTAATACCTAATTGTTTTGTAAAATGAGCAGACACGCAGTTAATATTGAGCAGCTGTCAAGAAGAGCCTTTCCTTTGATGAATGTCCCTTTTGAAGATTTCATCATAACAATCGCAGATGGCAAGATAACACTTTTATTCGTAGCTAATAAACAATTAGAAAGACTCGTCGCCTTCCAATTAGGGACCGGAGGAATATCCTTCCGGCCAGCTGTATTCTGCTCTATCGTCTGCGGATGTTTATTTGAAACAGAATCCAAATTCGATGACTCATCCTTATGAAGCAATGTAGGATGTTTTGAATGGCAAATATTGCAAAAATGATTCAATCGACAATCAGACATAAATTATTTCATCTTACTAGCGTATTCATATCAAGGAATTTACTACATTGAAAAAGAGAATGTGGCGAAATACATATAACGCAACTTTTTTCCGAATTAGTTGAATGAATAAGAAGGGTTTTTGATATTATTTTTATTTATTTATTTATTTTTTTTTTTTTTGGATACTTTCGAAAGTTTGACTTCTTTTTTCTAAGAATGTCATCAAGTTATCGAAATTAGGAACATCTGAAGCATTTACCGATAATTTGAATTGTTTTCGAGTTTCCTTGTCTATTTTGTCTAAAATGACAGTAGTAATTAAAATATCTGAGAATTTGCTTTCATTCGAAACCCAAATTATTTAAAGCTCTAATGTTTTTATTCACAGCATCTACAAGACGCCTTAATTCCTTTCGAAATGATTCATGAATAATTTTTTCGAATACTAAGAATAGCTTTAATGTGAATATTAATGAGAATTACCTTGTTTTCGAAGCGATTATCCATAAATAAATAATGATTCGAAAGTATCTTCCTGAGTTTGCAACAATTTTGCTTCTCCTTAAGAGCGGCATGCAGATAGTGTAGCTTTTGTGCATCTGTTAATTGAGTATTAGAGGTAACAATATTATTAAATTCAATTTTAAACATGCTCCATTCTTCATACTTTCCGCTAAATTGTGGAAATGGAATTTCA